GGTGGTTGTATTGTCTACTTTTTTGGTGATTTCAACCAGTTGCCACCAGTTCTGGATCGCACATTACTAGCTCCAGCAGACCCAAGAAAAGTTTCTTCAATTGAAGGAAGATTTCTTTTTGAGCAGTTCAAAACAGTATTTGAGTTGAAGCAGGTGATGCGTCAAATTGGAGATGATCAGAACTGTTTCAGAGAAACTTTAAAGCGTATGGCTCTAGGCCAATTAACTCTATCTGACTATGAATTGCTTAAAACACGATTTTCATCAAACAACGTTGCTACAGTAAAAAGTTTCACAAGCGCAATTCGAATAAAAGCAAGGAAAGACGCCGTACATCAATACAATCAACTCATGTTACGGTCTTCAAACAAGCCTGTTGCTTTAATAAAAGCAAAACATAACAACTTAACAGCATGTGGTGCATCAGAGGATGAAGCCCAAGGACTACAAGCAACTCTGCAGCTATCTCAAGGTTGTCGCGTAATACTACGCCAAAACATCTGGACCTCCCAAGGCTTGTGCAACGGCAGTCTGGGGAATGTTGTTGATATTGTCTATGGACCGAATAGATCGATGGACGACTTTCCAATTTGTATTTTGGTCCATTTTGATGGATACGAAGGTCCAACTTTTAATGGCTCTCTTCCGATATTACCACTCACTGTTGGATACCGAAAAAACAACGTGTCCTGTACAAGAAGACAGTTTCCCTTGCAAGTTGCCTATGGTATTACTGTCCATAAGGCTCAGGGAATGACAGTTGACAAAGCAGTAGTTGACATTGGTACGACAGAGTTTGCCCTGGGTCTTACGTATGTTGCAATGTCACGGGTTCGGTCCATCGAAGGACTTATAATTGAACCAGGCTTTTCTCAAGACCGCCTTCTCAAGTGTATCAACAATAATGCGGGTTGGGAAACTAAACGTAGAGAACTGGCACGTCTGCGTTCACTTATACAGCAATGAACACTATTATTATTCTTATTATTTCATTATTACTTATTACTCTGCAAAATTCCTATAAATTGATTTGATTTGATTTGAGTTCATGTATTTTTAACTGTGTGAATGTTTTCTTAACTTGTATTATGTAAATAAATGCTTTTTTGTACTGTTTAGTCAATTTTTTAGTAACTAAAAATTATTAAAACTTAATATATTAAATTAAAACTAATTATGACATAACAATAAATTTGTCGTTACATTTTTCAAAATTATTGATTAATGTGCTTGCTCCGCTCAATATTGCAAGCAGACAACTGCATTGTACTCCTAGTTGTAAATCCAATCAGACAAATGTAAATTTGCTTAGTCTGCAGGTTTGCTGTGGCGGAGGTATTAAACTAATAATACTAGTACATTGGTTTTTATCAGTTTTATTTTATTTTATTTTTTTTAATACCCGTAAACTAATTTATTCCATTTGCTAAAAGTAATCTTATTTGCTAACACAGAAGACATTTTTAAACGTGTCCGTGTCATGTATAAAAGTTGAACTTAAATCTAAACTAAAAAAAAAGTAAACGCTTAAACCTAAAATCGTAAATGAAACAGATAAACAACATTAACTTAAAGCTGTTATTGAAGTTAATAGTAATATGAATATATAAGTAGTATTGCATTCCATTTAAGAACTCATTTTAATAACTATTGCAAAATTTAACTTTTTTGTTTTTATATCAATTTATATTCATTTTATTCAAAAACTTATAATAATAAATTGAACCCCCCCCCCCCCACGCTTGGTTATACTTGACGATCAAAGTTGAAACAACATTTGCATTTATCAGTCACAGAAATGGAAGTGAGGCTGAAATTTGTGGTCGGGTTAACGTTGTTGTGATTGCTCATGTTTGTGGGTTGTTACATGATGCATGGCCGAGCGTTGTGGTCGGGTTGACGTTGTTGTGATTGCGGATGTTTGTGGGTTGTTACATGATGCATGGCCGAGCCTTGTGGTCGGGTTGACGTTGTTGTGATTGCTCATGTTTGTGGGTTGTTACATGATGCATGGTCGAGCGTTGTGGTCGGGTTAACGTTGTTGTGATTGCTCATGTTTGTGGGTTGTTACATGATGCATGGCCGAGCGTTGTGGTCGGGTTGACGTTGTTGTGATTGCGGATGTTTGTGGGTTGTTACATGATGCATGGCCGAGCGTTGTGGTCGGGTTGACGTTGTTGTGATTGCTGATGTTTGTGGGTTGTTACATGATGCATGACCGAGCGTTGTGGTCGGGTTGACGTTGTTGTGATTGCTGATGTTTGTGGGTTGTTACATGATGCATGGCCGAGCGTTGTGGTCGGGTTGACGTTGTTGTGATTGCTGATGTTTGAGGGTTGTTACATGATGCATGGCCGAGCGTTGTGGTCGGGTTGACGTTGTTGTGATTGCTGATGTTTGAGGGTTGTTACATGATGCATGGCCGAGCGTTGTGGTCTGGTTGACGTTGTTGTGATTGCTGATGTTTGAGGGTTGTTACATGATGCATGGCCGAGCGTTGTGGTCGGGTTGACGTTGTTGTGATTGCTGATGTTTGAGGGTTGTTACATGATGCATGGCCGAGCGTTGTGCCCCGACGTCAGGTTTCACACATCGATAGAATTGCACGGTTCAAGTGAAATCTTTACTCTTGATATTGGTTGATATGTGTGTGCATTATGTAGACTATCGTTTTACAATGAATTATTGCTCTACTAATACGGTTTATTTTTACAGAAAATCCGGCCTGTCGGAAATTGTGATGCCCATTAGCTAGAATTTACGATAAAAATGGGTTTTACGCCACACTACATTATTTTGACGAACTTCCCACGCAAGGATTTAGTCCAGAAAACAGCTGTTTGCCGCCAGCTTATTCAAATGGGGTTTCATTGTGTACTACTGTGCTGCAATGAGTTTTGCCGGACACCAATCAGCTGATTATACTGTATTTAGGTGGCAGTGAGTGGTTATAAACAAAAACATAACCTCTCTTAGAGGTTATGACTAGTGATTTTTAGTCCTTTAGTTGGTGGAAATATATAAGGATTTGTACGGATTTAGTAGTATGGCGTAAACTATCGTACGTAACTCGTCCAAAATGTGTGTACCGGACTCGTATGGTAAACACTTATTTTCAGGACTAGTAACGTAATATACTATTGTATTAAGGTAGAACGGAAAGAAGTACTGTACAGTAATACAATATTGACAATCAAATTTTTTATAATGTTCAAATATCTTATTTCACTCAACCAGACAGCTTGTAGAAATGTGATGTTTTGTAACAAGTAACAATATTGTACTATATTGTTGTACTATATTGTTACTTTTTACAAACAATGTCACTTCTATAATTAAATCAATAAATGTACTTGTATTTATTCAATTATATAAGTGACATTGAAAAAAACTCTAATATAATTGGCAATACTGAATTTTTTCAGTAGCTTTATGCTTAATAACACTTATTTTTTGTATCCTTTGCACATAACTTTTTATTAAATTTGCAAAATCGACTATTTTGTATTGCATAGATTTATTAATAAAAACAAAAGTGTCATTTTCCAACATTTATCCCTTCCCCCTACCCCCTTAATTTACCCCGGAAACAATATTCTTTGTTTTTTAAATATACATAGCTTTGTAACTACGAGATTATGCGAAACCATCATAACTGTCGCACAAAACTAGAACTTGTAACATAAATTTCGTGAAACATGAGATTTACTGTGTTAACTTTCACTAACTGTCGTAACATATTTCTGTAAACTGAACGTCATGTTGCCATGTCGTCTGGTTGTAGTCCAATGATCGTTGTAGTCCACAATATTTATGATTTACTGGTACTTGAAATTACAATTGGATTTATACTCTGAGACAAATCAAAATTAATTAGATATCTTAAAGATTTGTAATAGGGTACCATTAATGTAGTTTTGAAACGAATGTGTGAAATGCATACAATATTTGTACGCTTAACTTTCGATGGAAGCAGCTGCAGTTTGTTTTTCTTATAAATAGAATTATATTGAACAATAAAAATTCATGTTTTAAATGTGTGTTAGATTTTTAACAAACACTTTGGAGTTAAATGTTTATCATATAGTGAACGATGTAGTTTAAGTAAAATCGTGTTAATAGCAAGATTTGTATGCCTGGCAGGGATTGGGTGGGAAATATTTTGATGAAATACAAGAAAAATATCCCTGTGTTTGATGTAAAAAAATAAAAATAAAACTTATGAGTATAACATAGTCAAAGTTCAATTGAAATAGTTCAATTGTATCCAACGTTCTGTATTTATTATATCAGAATATTAGGACCTTTTCTATTAATTCACTACCACTAGTGAAATGTGGTTAGGTAAAGTTAGGTTTTTCTAACTGTATACTAAACTCTATACTAACCTAATTATAACCCAACCAACGTTTAATTCACTACCACTTCTAGCGCTAATAATCTATTGCTCTAATAACTATTGATAGTTAGTTGCCATAAAAGGTCCGAATATTGTATTTCTTACCAGTATACGAATATAATATAGGTAGCCAACGGGTAAAAAACAACATTTGAAGTTTCAAAACTTGTTTTTGAGTCTCAGAGTAATATCAATAACTAGTCGAAGTTAAAATAAAACCCAGGATCTCAAACCAATTTCAGGATGTATGTTCTGCGGAAAAGCAATTTTGTGATCACTTAATCTCTTCTAGATTGATTTCATTGTTCCGAACAAAGTTCCAATATAAGCCTAAGCGTACGGCCCGTATAAAACCATGTACATAGTAAATAATCAGTTAATTCAAGATAAGAGTGTCAATAATTGTATAATATTTTTGATTGTTTGACTTATGATAGATTAACAAGTGATCTATTTTCGTGCAGAATCATCTTTGGGAACATTTTATTTTCTAAATATTCTCAATTTCTTTTCTTTTTGACGTTTTTTAACTCACAAATCTGTTAATTAATAAATATTCTTAAAACATGATTTTTTGGAACAATTGTATAAAACAATATTGGTTGTCTAATTTATTTTCGACCGAACAAATTTAAAAAGTAATAATGCTAAAGAATTAAAAAATTAATGAAAATGAATTATTTTGGTTTATAGGTTCTAACTGTCAGCCACAACACATTGGTTGATTGGGTTTGGAAGTATTTACTCCCAAAATAGGTACAAACATCAATGTAACTTTGCAGTTGTTATTAGATAAATAAATAATATCTTTGAACTCATCATGAATAATATTTAATGGGACGACAAGTTTCATTTAAAGTTTTTAGGATTGTACTGTCTTAAATTTAACTTTTATATGTTTCTGAAAACAAAATAGTTTAAATATGCCTTCCATCCAGCAGTTACCAACGAGAAACTTAAAACTAACTGGTAAGCAAAATAAATTGTATATTTAGATTATTTATATTCTTTTAGTTATGTTTGGGTGATTAAATATTTTTCAACATAAGCGTTTTTTATTGAACTTTAACAGCCATTTTAGTAATGGTCTTTCCATCTGAAAATCCCGAAAGAAAAATATTTTATAGAGGTACTATTAAACATACGGTTCCCAAATTTGTCATACAAGCTGGGTAAGACGCCCTGCAGTATTTCTTTTAGCCCGTGGATTTAGTTTCTAACCTTTTTAGCTGAAATTATCAAACCTTATGCATTTAAATAAACGTTAATGGCCAAAACCATGTATGTAAAATAACCAGCCAAGCCCCTTTAACATATCAAAGTTGAGAAGACTTTCTGAACCATGCTAACTTTTAGTCTGTTTTTATTTGTACGCAGTTTTGTTACTTTTATAAAACCCAATTTGATTGACAAAATTATAATCTTATGTGATGTTGATCCATTTACCTCGCAAAAGACTAACATTTAAGATACAATCGTAGACATGGATGACATGATCTGTCAGGTAGGATCTCATTCTATGACAGAGTTGAGCTGAATGCTGACAGTTCTGACAGTCTGAGTGAGA